GAAAGCCCCAAACACAACACACACTACAGACAACCACTTCCCTCAAGGGTCCTGTATTTGCTTCTCCTTCACCTGGAAAACTCCTTCTCAAAACTCCCTGTTAACAGTCCCTGTTCACAAGCTCCCTTGTCGCTGACTCTCTGCTTTATAAACCTTTATAAAAAGCTTGAGCGGAGGTACTTTGTATCGCAGAAGGGGAACAAGCATCTCTTCTTCTTCGAGGAGTGTCTCCATGGATGCTTCACCTTGGGTGCATGAGCGCTGCTGCACCTCTGATCGGAGATTTGTGACAGCAGTGCCCACGGTTGGCTGTGCACGTGGGGTGCCGGCATGTCTGCATGCGCAGCCAACTGCTTCCTCAGTTCCTTCTCAACCATCGCCAGCTTCGGTCGCAGCTCAGCAGTTGCCCGTTTACCTCACTGAGAAGTTACATAGTTTTAGACAGTTTTACTACAGAAGTTTCTTTACTAGTTAATAATTATTAGTCTATCTTACCCTCCATAGCAATAGTTTTAAAAAAAAGTTTATTTTTTCCCTTGCTGTGCATTAGTAGACTCGAAATAGTTTAGAGAATTGAATTAGTGGTTATAGTAACACAAATGCTGAAATTTCTGTGTTTCCTGGGATATGTCTGGCTCATCCGGATTTAAGTGCATTTCGATATCTGACAGACACGCACAGTGCGTCCGCTGTTTGGGTGAGGAGCATCCCACGGAACAGTGCCCTCACTGTAAAAAACTCATGGCCAGAACAAGAAAGGCCAGAGAGTTCCAATTAAAAATGATACAGATGGAGAGAAAGAGCCCCAGAGCCCACCCCACCACCCCACACAGGCAGCCATCCCCTGGAGTGGCATCGGAGAGAGGCGTTCCCACTAGGTCAAGTCCACAGGACAGTGAAAAGACTGAAGAAGAGGTCCCATTCCTCCTCAGGGACAGACTCTTTCTCGAGGAAGCATCCTCTCCACAAGAAGACTGCCCCCGCACCCTCAATAGAAAAAGGGTTGGAAAAGCAATCAGGCAACAAAGCCAGCAGCGATAAAAGCCGCAACCCCCAAGGACAAGGAGCGTGCCTCATCAAAGACACTAGCAGAGGCAAAACACAAAGCCTCTGTGTCAGCACCAACCGCGGCACAGACAAAGCCACGCTTGGCTTCGGCACCATTCCACCTCCAGCAGCAGCACAGGCACCGGCTAAACACTTGGCACCAACAACGCACAAAAGGCAACCAGCACTGATTCAAATGAAGCGGCAGGCGCCAGCTCCGCAATTCCCGCCAGTTCCCATACTGACTCCTCCTCCACTGGTACCGCAATTTACAACAGCAGCGGAGCTCTCTGTTACATCGGTCCTGGGAACACCCTTATTTGGCACCGATGGTATGCCAAACACATCCAGATATAGCTTCTCGTCCATCCCAGCCACCTCAGCGCCCCCAATATTGATGATGATGATGATGATGATGATGATGTGCCAGCTCAGACACACTTACTGAGACACTCCTCATCAGTTATGGTGCACCTAGCAGCTATCTGCTTTTAACTTGGGCTCCAGGGCCAAGACACTCTTTGGGGACCCCATGGTTCATTGGTTTCTGAAGGGGCTGGACAGGCTTTATCCACATGTCTGTCAACCTGTTCCTCAATGGGACCTTAACCTGGTCCTGACTAAGCTCACAGTGCCCCGCCCTTTGAGCCTCTGGCAACCTGCTCCCTGCTGCACCTCTCCTGGAAGGTGTCCTTCCTGGTGGCTATCACGTTGGCCAGGTGTGTGTCCAAACTGAGGGCTCTCATCTCAGACCCCCCTTATAGTTTTCTTCAAGGACAAGGTTAGGCTACGCCACCATCCCACCTTCCTCCCAAAGGTGGTGTCTCATATCCATGTCTCCCAGGACATTTTTCTCCCAGTGTTTTACCCCAAGCCCCATGCCTCTGGTAAGGAACACGCTAGATGTTAGAAGAGCTTTAGTGTTTTATTTAGACAGGACAAAGCCCTTTTGTAAGTCCCCACAGCTGTTTGTGGTGATCGCAGAATGGCTGAAGGGGCAGCTGGTCTCTGTGCAGAGGATCTCCTCATGGATCACTTCCTGTATCAAGGAGTGCTATGGTCTGCCAGATCCCTCCCTTACAGCCCACTCCACTAGGACACAGGCCTCCTCTACAGCCTTCGTGGCTCAGGTTCCTATACTGGATATCTGTAGGGCCGCCACATGGTGTTCGATCCACACCTTTGCTCTGGTTCACCCTGGGTAGGTGTGATGGTGCATTTGGGTTTCCCCGACTCCTGCACCCCCGTAATGGCACGAACAGACTCCACTAGCCAGTAGAACAGAGGGTGTTTTCATTTGTGCTGTGTCCTGGAGATGGAGAAGCAATAATCTGGTTCCAGGGCAGGCCCAGGATGCCTCAGCCCCCCTTGAGATGGGGGAGACTGGGCCCCTAAATCCCAGGCCCCCTTGCTTGGGCTTCTTCCTCCATGATTCCAGACAAACTAAAACTCTCTTCCAGCCCTGCCCCCCAGCCAGGTGCTGGTTTCCACCCCCCTCCCTGGGAGGCTGAGCCTGAGCGTCTGGGCAAATACACATTTGAGAGAGTCAGTGAGAATCTCCCATCACGGCACAGGGGGACCCCCGGTCACAGAGCAGACAGCACCCCCACTGTGCCACAGTAGGGCTGTACTCCACTCCCTGAAAGGTTAGAACTCTGACCCTACCTCCTGGGGTTTCTGCTTTGGAGTCACCTAAGTGGAATGGACATGAGCAAGCACTCGAAGAAAAAATGGTTACTTGCCTTCGTAACTGTTGTTCTTAGAGATGTGTTGCTCATGTCCATTCCAAATCCCACCCTCCTCCCCTTCTTCTGAGTAGTCCGGTAAGAAGGAACCAAGGGGCTGGAGGGCCAGCCAGGGTATATATTAGCTGATATAGCGGCATCACTCCAGGGGGCTCCCCTGCTGGCCCAACGGGTACTGCTAAGGGAAAAAACTGCCGACAATGTGTGCATGCAGTGCACGCACCTAACTGGAATGGACATGAGCAACACATCTCAAAGAACTACAGTTACAAAAGGTAAGTAACCATTTTATCATGCTACACAAATCTTTTATAAAAAGGCATCAAAGCCAGAGTTATTACAGAGAATTGGCACACTTTGATGCAGGATTGTACATTCACTCTTTGCCTTGCCCTGATTTAGGGGACAGGGAAACATAGTCTGCCTGTTGTTCAGTGTCAAGTGGTGTTCTGCCACTTCCATGGTGCTTCAGTATGCCGTGTGTGTGTGTGTGTGTGTGTATATATATATCTACCTATTGTACTTGATGGACAGGAGCATCGGCTTTTCATATTAAAACGCCCATCACTGGACTAAAACCAGATCACTCACTTGTTGTCACAGGTTCTGCACATCCAGCCACCACCCCTTTTGGACCCTCGCCTCATCATAGCAGCTTCCTGCCTACAAGCCATTTGGCAGGTAATTGTAAGTAAACTCTGCTATCACATTTATTGTTATATTTAATTCTCTGATCAGCAGTGTCTGAGATACCATAGCACTTAAAGCCCCACAGGAAACACAAGCTACCCTAGGAATCTTCCCCCAGCACACCCTTTGTTTTTCCATCTCTAACTTAGTTCCTGAGGTCAACAGGATTAGTAGATCCTTTCCCTGCCAATGGATGGAGAATTTTAGGGCTTGTCTGTGCTGCACTTCCATCATTAAAACTTTTGTCACTCAGATGTGTGAAAAAACACCCCCCTGAATGACAAAAGTTTTAATGATGAAAACCACAGCTCTGTGGGCAGGAGACACACTCCCAGCAATGAAGCTACTGCCCTTCATTGGAAGTGGTTTTATTTTGTTACCAGGAAGCTCTCTCTTGGCGATAGTGGCTACACTGTGCAACTTTCAATGGCGCAGCTGTGGTGACACGGTGTGGGAATTCCATGAATGATAAGCCACTGTGCATACTCACTTATATCTTAGATGTAGAAGGTTTATTCTATTCTGTACAGTTAAATACGTGTGATGAACTCAGAGAAACAATAAGAATTTTTCATTAGATGGGTAAATAATTAGGTGGCTTATCAAAAGGTAACCAAAACAAAGGGATAATTTAGCATTTCCAATCATTAGCAAACTATATCTCAAACAACAAATAATTTAAAATGGTTTTCTCCCACATCCCTTCTCACTTTCTTTTTATTAGAGCTGTATGAACAGTTATCTAATAGACTTTGCTTGCTTTTTTGTTCCCTGATTGGCTGTAAGTAGACCCTGATTTTCTAAAATCTCTGCATTCTAAATTGTACACAAAATTAGTTTTTCTTGTTCAATATAGTGCTTATGGGCAGTTGATTATACCACTCAAAGTTCTGGATGTGTTGGTTAGTTTTGATGATAAAAGGTTTTTCTATGCATGATGGTGTTCAGGAATAACACCATGGCTATGTCTATACTGCAGCCTTCTTCCGCAAAAGCTTATGCAGATGAAGCATGGAGTAGAATATCACCGTGCTTCATCTGCATAATTAATTAGGGGCCGCTTTTGCACAAGAGGCTTTTGCACAAAAAGGAGCTGTGTAGACAGCTCCTTTTTGCGCAAAACCCTCCTCTTGCGCAAGAGCTGTTCTTCATGGAAAAAATGAGGAAGAATGGCTTTTGCGCAAGAGGGGGCTTTTGCACAAAAAGGAACAATCTACACAGCTCCTTTTTGTGCAAAAGCCTCTTGTGCAAAAGCAGCCCCTAATTAATTATGCAAATGAAGTGCAGCAATATTCTACTCCACACTTCATTTGCACAAGCTTTGGCGGAAGAAGGCTGAGGTATAGACATAGCGTATGTATCTTTCTGGTTTTCACGTAATCCACTACCAAAATAGATTAAGATTTTTTTTTGGGGGGTGGATTATGTGTTATCAAGCTCTTGCACTCATCCAGTCAGTGAACAGAATATGCACTATGATGACCTGTTTAAATCAGATTTCCAGGGCAAAATCCCCATGGTAACTTTTAATTTTCTCCAACACAGAGTTAAAATTCATGGCTACTGCAAATGAGTCACTCTGATATTCAGTACAAGAATAGAGTGCAAACACAGTCAGAGTCAATTAGTGTAAAATTCTACTTAATGTATTTCTGGAAAAATTTGTACTGTTCACCCAGCTCTCATATATAATTTAAGATGTGTTAGGTCTGGACAGAATTTAATGGTAGCAGTGTAGTGAGGGAACTTAATTCCTTGGCTTAGCAAGGCCTTAAGACTGTGGTCTACTTTTACACTAGTAGTGAGTGAGGATAAAATGTCCTCTGAGCCTTTTTCCCCTAAAATTTCCCAACTGTGGTTACTGCCATAGTTGTAGAGCTAGTGCAGGTCCTTCTCTGGCTCTTTAACCAACAGCTTGTCTAATCTGTCTTGGAGCAGATCTAAATAGCCAGGTGGCTGGCACACAATAGCCCCTAGTCTACACTAGTGCCCCCACTGTTGCTGTGACCAGTGGTTCTGTAGAAGGAATGTTAGTGCAAAAAGCCCAGGTGCATAGTTGCTGTAGGAATGGATGTCTGTAATGATTCACTTAGGATTATGTCTGTGAGAAGGTTACACAGCAGACAATACAGAGGTGCACACAAAAGTGATAGTGAAACAAAGTGACCTCTCAGGCCACTCACCAAGATGCCTGCAGTTCCCATTTCAAGGCAACTGAAAGACAACAACAACAAGCAAAGAAAATTCATTATCAAAAAGTATCATCGTAATAAAGCTGTCAGGCCCCCTGCTTGTTAGAATGGCTTTGTGTTCTGGTTCCTTCACTTTCTAATGCTGCCAAAATATCAGCAAGCAGCAGCAGTGTGTGGTGTCTGTGTCTGGCCTCACCCTCTCTCAGGTGTAGGCTTACAAATGCAGGAGCCTTTTGTTATCTTATACAAAGGGTGCTGCGTTTTGTCAGCTTTGTTTTATATTGATGTCTATACTGTGACATGGTGCAGAACCCAGGGTAGGCTGGGAAAGGGGCTGGAGAGCAAATCAAAGGATACTCTTATGTCCTGAAAAGTTTTGTGCAAGTGTTGCATAAATTGCTAGGTTTCGTCCCCTTGGAGGCTAGTCTGATTTACCCCAAGAAGAGAGTCACACTTTCAGGCTGGGTCCAACTCAAGTTTATTGGTTGCAACCAAGGTACGGCTAAGGAACTCAATGTTCAAATCAGAGCCGACCCCCAACATCTCATATGCAGGGGTTTTTATAGGGTTCACATCCTTCCTGGTTTAGGTGCCTTAACATGATAGGTTACTTCATTTTTGACATTTAGCATTCCTATAGGTCAGGTTAATTTTCCAAATGAGGTTAAATACAGTGCCTACTTGCTGACTTTGCGGTTACAGCTGTGTTACATTCATTCACTTTTGCTGAACAATGGGCGAGCCATATCTCCCTTTTTCCTTTCCTGCTTGAGCCGGTCACAAGTTTAAAGGATGTGGAATCTATCCATATCTCCACTTAACAGAAGACTGGTTTCACTTCCCCTCGTCTCCTTATTATAAGTTATTACCTGTGACAGGCCTTGACCTTTGTCATGTCTTACTCCTATACAAATAGCAAATATATCTAAGCATTAGCAATGTATGTATATTGTACGTGCCCCTCATAGGGGAATCAATAGCTCCGGGGGATTTGACTTCCCTTTTACACATCACAAGGCCCACTTGCACCAGAAGACAGTTTACAACTCTTCATTGCCATGTGGATAGCATTGCAACTTAGCTGAAATTGAGTAGCAGCTCCTATTAGAATATCACTTGCAGCTCCCCTCTGGCATACAAAAGTTTACTACAGTGTCTGTCTGTGTAGTAAGCACTGAATCCCTTCTCTGTTTTTTAACATGTTAGGAATTTCTGTGCAAAGAACTTTGCAATAAGGAGGGTCATCTTAAAGTCTGACCTAATCCTGCTTGGATTCAGAGCATTCAGAAGGGGAGGGGTGTGTTTCATTCTCCAACATTCTTGGCTAAATGCCTGCTAAATCCTTGTTTGCCTTTCCAGATCCATTTAGCAGGTCAAGCACCTTCAGCGGCCTTGGGAACTTAGGCAGCAATGCCTTTGGAAGATTAGGCAGTCATGCTCTGAGTAAGTACTGGCTGGGTTAATGCAGAAAAAACATCCCTTCCAAAAAGGCCACATGCTAATATTTACAGCAGCTGGAGGTAATTTAAAAAAAAAAGTTATTTCCTAACCTCCATTCTCCTATCTGAAAACACTGCACCTAAGATTTCCAGGTCTCTGTGGTGGGAGCTTTTCTGCATGTCACGCCTATCAGTAGTCATGCTTCTGCATCTCTTCACAGCTCAAGATTGTGGCCTTCTGTGCTCTTAGAGGTGTCAGAGTGTGAAACTCCACTGAGCTCTGCTACCCTACTGGCACGTAAAGTGACATCCTTCAACAGTAAAGACTTACAGTAGAACAGCCATTGATACCCTAAATCACTGTGTAGACTTACCCTCCTCTGCCAACTCCCACAGTTTGAATTTTAAATTCCACATACAGAATTACTTTCAAGTGAGATGTACTTGGCAGACACATGTAGGAAAGTATGCATGTGCAACTCATACAGACCTGGAGATTTTTTTTTTTAAACCAATCCAGAATTCAAGTGACTTATCATGCTAAAAGGAATGTGTGAACCACAGCCAAGCTCGGGTTTTAAAAAAAAAATGCAACTACACACCACCTCTGAGTCTGAGTCCTCACTGCAGGCAGCTGATTTTCCGTAACTGCCTTGCAACCTTTTAGTTTGGCAGTGACAGGAGCTAGTGAGTATTGGTCATGCTGATGGAGAGAGAAAGAGAAGCTGGGCAATTCTGAATCATCTCTTGTGGTGTTAATGTTCTCATTACCTTGCAGGGGTTACTCAGTTCTGTAGATAAAGTTTCCCCCACAAACAGGCTTAACAGCTGCTGTGTCTTTCACCAGTTCTCAGAGGTGGCTGAAAGCTCCTGCTAAGAGCTTTCCCCGACCCCAAAATGAGAAGTCTTGAAAGGATAGTTATTATAATTGGCACATTAGAATAGTTTGGTATGAATTTTTTAACTCTTGTTCAAAAGAAAAATGTGTTCCCTTTTGCTCTCCTGTGACTTTAGCTCACAACAGCATATTTGTTCACAAAGATGGTCCAAACCTACAGAGCTTTAACAATCCCCACGAGCCATGGAATAGATTCCATCGAACCCCACCTTCCTTCCCGACACCTCCACAGTGGCCTAAGCCAGGGGATTCCAAGCGAAGCGCCTCAGTGACCAACCATGACAGAGACCGGGAGTGGGAGTCGGAGAAGAGAGATCTTTTTCTGAATAAGGATGACAGAGACAAAGAGAGGTAGGTGGCAGGCATGCTTTGGGCACTTCCTTGTACTCTTTGTATCTTCTATTCCCCCTCCAGTGGCCTTGATTTTGACATAACTGTAAATCTGGTGAGGTGAATGAGATGAGCAAATTCTCTCTGAAGCTGTCAACAGGCCTTTCCCTCCATTCAGCACTGCCACAGGCATGTTTTGGCTAGACCAGTGGTTCTCAAAGCATCATCCGCAGACAACTAGTGGTCCACAGCCACCTCCCAGGTGGTCTGCGGCTTGAGCTCAGCCCCCACCCTCCTCCCTCACGCAGCAGGAAGCCTGCACTGTTGCTCGAACCTCACGGTTGGCGCACAGACCCAAGGCTGTGAGCTGGAAGCTGGAGCTGGTGCTGGAGGACACAAGCAGGGAGATGAAGAAAGCAAAATCACCGTCCCACACGCAGACCATGGAGCTACAGGTGAAGGACTGCCACCCCATCCCCCACCATAGGAAACTCCCACCCACCACTGGGTGTCCGCCAAGCCCGCAGTTGCCATGGTAGCAGCAGCACTTCCCTCAGTTGCTCCTGCGGGGCAGGTAGCAGGTTGGACTGCGCAGGACCTGGCCGGGTCGGGCAGGCTCCTGTGGTGCACGAGTGGCTGGTGCCCTCTCCCTTCCCCGGCAGCAGGTTAGGCTGCACCGTGCCTGGCAGTGGTGGGAGGAGGTGGCACTGTGGCTGAGGGGTCCCAACCTCGCAACCCTCCCCCTTCTGCACTGCACCTCTCGCCCAGATCCTGCATCCTCATCCCTATTCCACACACTGGCAGCGCTGTCCTGCACACTGAACCCCTAATTTTTCTCCACTCCAGGAGCTAAGGGAGGCCATAAAATCCACTAACTCTGGAACCCCAGGAAAAGTAAATTTGGCCTATGGGAAGCTGTGAACCTCAGCCCCCCATCCCTTCCCCTCACCTTGCGGGGCTGGAGCACCAGAGGAGTGAGGTGGCTCAATTGGGGGCCACATCAATGAGAGTTGTTGGTTTTGGAAGAGTTTTTTTTTGTTTTGCTTCTCACTTCTGTGGTCCCCAACTGATTTTTCTGTAGGGCAGTGGCCCCCCCAACCCGAAAAAGGTTCCCCACCCCTGCCATCAATAAAGCAAACATGGAAACCTAGCAACTGGTGGTCCACGGAAAGGTTTACATTGAGACAGGTGGTCCATGGGCCAAAAAATTTGAGAACCTCTGGGCTAGACAGAAACCAACAGCCCATCCTTGAATGTCACAGGCTGTGGCAACATTGTCAACAAGTCCATCCGCTCCTGCCACTAAGCCATTTGTCAGGTAGACTCTGCCCTCAAAGTGCCTCTTGTTAGACAGCTCTAATACACAGGCATGGTGAATGAGAGCTGCTGTGGGCTACAGTGTTTTATCTCAGGTAAGCAAAGGTTTGCAAGCTGCATTGTGATACTGTGATCTGCTCTCGCTCCCATACTCTCAGCTAAGGGCAATGCCTTTCAGGTCTAGCTAGGTATCTCAAATAGAACCCAAACAGTTTTGTTGCTGAGAAACCAAAATAGATAGAATAAACTTGAAAAACAACCAATGGTCTGGTAGCACTTTACAGACTAACAAAACATGTAGATGGGATCATGAGCTTTCGTGGGCACAGCCCACTTCTTCAGATGACTGGAGTGCTGAGTTTAGGATGTGCAGATAGAGTCCTGTTATTGCCTTTGATTCTTATCTGCTTCGTTTTAACTACCCAATCTTCAGGTGCTTACCAATTTCCCTGTTCTGCCTTCCTGTTTTTCTCTTTGATATTTCCATACCCTCTGCTCCTTGTTTCCTGCCCCCCCCATAGGAGTGTAGCCAGCTGGACATGATCCCCCTGTTGACCCCACTGTTTCCGCCCCCCTTCCCTTGGTTCTGGCTCTCTCAGCTACAATTTAAGTAGGTTTCCTGTTATGTTGAACAAATGAGGTTTAAGTAGCTTCCTGTTATGGTGAAACAGTGGAAAGCCCTGATAAGGTCAGGAACTTTCTTAGAAACCACATTGATTTAATAGAGTTAATTAAATTCATGCTTATGAATATGTATGTAACCTACAGAATGAGTGAGGAAGCGTGAATGAGCAACACCCACTCATAAAGCAGTTCAGCATGTGTTGCCTTTTATGGTCAAGGAAGAATTCTGCAAATCGAAACTAACTCTTGCAACCTGCAGCCTGCCTCCAAACTGCCAGCATGAATGTGATGTGTGTGTGTGTGTGAGTACTGCCATACCATTAAGATTCTGTACTAATAGACAGAGGGTGAACTTGAGCAGCACTGAAGCTAGTCTAAGGTTTTCCCTTGCCTGGTCCAAAGACAGGTAACAGTCTACACTGTGGGGGGAAGGTCAGCTTAATGTACACAACTCCAACTATGTAAATAATGTAGCTGGGGGTCAACCTACCTTAAGCCGAGCTTGGCACCATCTCCACAGAGGGAGGTTGATGACAACAAACACTCCCGTCAGCTTCCCTTACTCCTTGTGAATCAAAGAGTACCTGCGCCAACCAGAGGTACCCTCAGCATTCGATTTAGCAGGTCTTTACTCGACCCACTAAATTGAATGCCAGAAGATAGATCTCTGGTGCCATAAGTATAGACATGGTCTTACATTTTCAGCCATCACCGGAGAGATTTTTCCCCGCTCATGGGTAGAGGTTGAACTTAAAGGACAAATGGCAGGGACATTGGGAATCACTCTCATCACTTTTACTGAAAGGTCTAGTTTCACAGAGAGAAGCAAGGAATGTTTATGTACCAGCTGGAATACAGTTGGTTTCCTGGCATGAGTTTGATTATTATGACTGTGCTATCTTCTGATCATAAACAGTTACTACAGCTGGTACAGTCACATTTTTTTAAATTGAGCAGTCAGTGAATAACAGTGTACTGAATATCCACCACTGGGCTGGATGGAGACTGGATTATAGCAAAAGCTAATTCCTAAAACAATAGGGGATTGTAGGAATCCTAAAAGTTTTTTGTGGATAAAGAATAATTTTTTTACAATAAGGGAGAGCTGCTGATCCCTCAGGTAAAGAAAAAACATCTGGGGAGCATCCACACTAGCCTTTACAAACATCATGAGTATATGCAGTTAATTGGAAACCAATTAACTCAGAAGGTCTAGCATAGACACTTCCTCAGTTGTCCAAGTTGGCCTAGCAGGAATTCTCAGGTTCTTCTCTGAGGGTATGTCTACACTAGAAAGTTAATTCGAACTAACAGCCATTAGTTCGAATTAACTTTGATAGGCGCTACACATGCAAACCGCTAGTTCGAACTTAATTCAAACTAGCGAAGCGCTTAATTTGAACTAGGTAAACCTCATTGTACGAGGACTGGGCCAAGCCAGGGAAACTCTTTTGCCCCCCTCCTGGCCTCAGAGCCCTTAAAGGGGCACGGGCTGGCTACGGTGCCCGTGCCAG